CCTTGCTGGCCCCATGGCCCCCCTGGCTGTCCCCACAGGGTCCCTGTTATCCTCACAGGTGTCCTGGCTGTCCCCATGGCCCACCTGGCTGTCCCCACAGGTGCCATGGTCATCCCCATGGGCCACCTGGCTGTCCCCATGGCCCACCTGACTGTCCCCAGAGGTGCCCTGCTGTCCCCACAGATGCCCTGGCTGTCCCCATGGCCCACCTGGCTGTCCCCACAGGTGCCCTGTTATCCTCACAGGTGTCCTGGCTGTCCCCATGGCCCACCTGGCTGTCCCCACAGGTGCCCTGTTATCCTCACAGGTGTCCTGGCTGTCCCCATGGCCCACCTGGCTGTCCCCACAGGTGCCCAGGCTGTCCCCTGTGCCCCCAGCTCACCTGGAAGACGGCCTTGGCACGCAGACGGTCGCTGAGCAGGTGAAGTGCCTGAGCATTGAGGCTGCCAGAGCTGTCCATGTCCCCAACCAGGGTGGGGAACACCTGGGGACACCGTGGGGTCACCAGGGACAGGGGTACCCCAGCCCACGGGGACCCCCCAAGTGTCCTGGTGGCAATTCTGTCACTCAAACACTCACATTCCAGAGCCTTGTGGTCAGCACAAGGACACCCATGGCCACCCTGGGGTCATTGGTCAGCTTGAGGCCACTAATGACCATCAAGGGGTCACTTGTCACCTCAAGGCCACCGATGACTGCCCCAGGGTCACTTGCCACCCTGTGGCCACCAATAACCCTGAGCCTACCAATGACCCCAAGGCCACCAATGACCACCCTGGGGTCACCTGCCACTCTGAGGCCACCAATAACCCCGAGGCCATCAATGACCACTCTGGAGTCACCTGTCACCCTGAGGCCACCAATGACCCCACAGCCACCAATGATCACCCTGAGGCCACCAATGACCACCCAGGGGTCACCTGCCACCCTGAGGCCACCCATGACCCCAAGGCCACCAATGACCACCCTGGAATCACCTGTCACCCCAAGGCCACCAATGATCAACCTGGAGACACCTGTCACTCCGAGGCCACCAATGACCCCAAGGCCACCAATGACCATCCCAAGGCCACCAATGATCACCCTGGAGTCACCTGCCACCCTCTGGCCACCAATGACCCCAGGGCCACCAATGACCACCCTGGAGACACCTGTCACCCTGAGGCCATCAGTGACCATCAAGGGGTCACCTATCACCCCAAGGCCACCAACGACTGCCCTGGGGTCACCTGCCACCCCGAGGCCACCAATAACCACCCTGGGGTCACCTGCCACCCCAAGGCCACCAATGACCACCC